ATACATACACCGTATATAGCTATTGCAAATTCATTATTTTTAGGTAGTTAAAATGGCACCATGGTAAAGATAAAATTCAAATAAGAAGAGAAGAGTCAACAGCATAAAACAGATTAATTAAAATATAAGGCAACTTAAAAAGCAATCAAAAACTCATCAACAAAGAAATACTTAGAACTTGCTTGGATCTAAAGCCTAATTTATCCCAATGCTGGTGAACTCCCAAAGCCTTGCCTAAATACCAAGGCCTTTGTTGGCTGGCAGAAAGATAACATGGCAGGAGGGGGCCAGTCCTCTATAGGGAGTTCCTCATTAAAGAGTTCCACACCTATAAGTAATAAAAGAATGAAATAAAACGTAATGCAATAAAATGATGTCAGTACTCTTCACGGGCTCCTAAATTATTTGTGCTTTGGCAGCTCCTCAGTTATGTCAATTTCTCGCATCAGCTGAGAGATACAGTGAGTCCTTGGTATCTGCTGGGGCTTGATTCCAGAACTGCCTGTGGATATCAAAATCCATGGATGTATAAGTCCCATTAAATAGTGGCATAGTAAAAAATGTGTCCTTGTATATAACATGACAAAATCAAGGTTTGTTTTTGGATTAGGGGAAGAGTAAGGTATTTTCAGGTTGTGGGCGGTTGAATCCATGGATGCAAAATCCATGAATATAGAGAGCAGACTATGTATCTTTGGATCTTGCTTTCTAAGCTCCAATTCCCAGAATCTCTAAGCAGGTTTTGGAGTTCAGCCTGTGACTGTGTCTAGTGATCAGGGTACTCTGGATATTGGGAATGGCAATGCTGGTTCTAATGATGTTGGGAATGACAATGACAATGCTGTTTCTAATGATGAGGGTGCTTTAGATGGAGAGAATGACAATGAAATTCCTGTTCAAACTGTCTTTGCTGATGAGAATGCTTCTGAAGAGTTTGGGGATGATGGGATGGTCTCTGGAAGAGGGCCTGAATTGCTTCCAGAGAATTCCCAGGCCTTTGAGCTTGAGAAACGCTCGGCAGCTGGCCCTGCTGCAGAAATTAATGAGCTAGAAGATAGAAGGCATGTTTTCAGACAGAAACAACAATCTCTTCACCACTTTGACAGGTTGATAACAGACTCTAGGCTGAATAAAAACAAGTTTCTGGCAGGGATTTAGAGTAGATTAGGGGATAAAAGTGCCAAGTACAGAATCCGATGTCAGACGAAGCAACGTTGGAACTGGATCAAGACGTAGTGGTGAACCCCGCAGTCTTGCCTTGGAAAGATTCAAGTTATACCTTGTTTGATTTGATGATTTGGAGCTTTACCTTGGAAGTTTCTGTGTGGAGTTTTCATGTACTTTGATGGATTTATTTCCTGGATTATTTGTTCCTGTATATCTTTCTACCTACTTAGATTTACCTATTTCTTTGGAGTGTTTTTACTCCTAATGCTTTTTTAAAAAAATAACTACAATAAACTGCTTGCATTTTCACTCAGCTGTGTGGTGTTTTGAAGTCAGAGGGCTTCTTCCTGGCTGGAGTTCAGCAGCAGGTTAGGGTAGGTTGAAAGATTCTGGCAGTATGCTGAAAGACTTTGGGACTTGTAGTCTCCAAAAGCAGGTTCTGAGTGACAATGGTATTGAAGCATGGATTGCAGTCTTTATTTAGTTGCTGTACAACGACTCAAAAGAAGAAAGCAGATTTCTCAGCTCACACTAAACATGTTAATTCAGGTTTCCTTCCTATGCCAATCAAAGCCACACTTTAGGACTAGTGTGGACATGCCACATGTTTCCAATACATATCTATCTAGTTAGGGTTACCTGAGGTAAAAGTGAAAGGCTCCTTTAACTTTAATCATTGTGTAGAAGAAGGAATTTCAGTAAGTGCGGCTTATTACTTGGTTGCATGAAAAAGTAACACTGCTGAAATTCTTTGTTCTGCATAACTGTTAAAGGTCTGGCAATCATACCTATCATAGCTCCAAACACAGCTCATTTTTACTATACTATTCAATACATAGTAAGTTTATACTATTGCATCATAAAAAGCAGAGGTCCAAGCATGTCTACTCAGAAATAATACCACTGAATCCAGAATCTATAAGCAAATGTTTCCAGGATTATAGCCCCAGCACAGAAAGATTTTGCTTCTTCACTGGCCCAAGACCACACTCAAAACACTAGTTGTGAGAGGCAGTTTACATTAAATACCACTTGGATTTTAATGATCTGGAAGGATATGTTACCTAAGCTAGAGATGACACAGATATAATGAATGTGAAAGACAGAGGAAGGCTAAGTTGATACCTCCATTGCTAAACCTGACAGATACAAGGGAAATGATGAATCTAGCTCAGATGTCATAAAAGACACGGGGAATTTAGCTAGTGTTGATATCTGCTTGCACTGGATATGAATAAAAGCGTTCTCTATCAATCTGCAGAACAATTCAGCACTGATTCCAATGATTCCAAAGTTGGACATTATTATTACATGGGAGCACTTTCCACCTTCTCTCTTGCAGTAGCTCCACTGGATGCCACTTTGCTTCTGGGAACAATTCAAAGTGCTGGTTATGACCTTCAATGCCCTATATAGCTCAGGGCTAGGGTATTTGCCCGACCACATTTCTCAGTATGAACCTGCCCGGGCTCTGAGATCTTAAGGAGAGGCCCTTCTCTCGGTCCCACCTTCACTGCAAGCTTGGTTGTTGGGAATGAGAGAGCAGGCCTTCCTTCTTGGTGGTTGCCCCTTGACTCTGGCACTCCCTTCTTCCCAGGGAAGCCAGAATAGGTGCCTCCCTGTTCTCCTTCTGGAGGCAGACTAAAACCTTTTTGATTCAGGCAGGCTTTAAAGAAGAAGGCTTTTAAAGATCAAGACAGGGATGCAGTGGTTTTGGCTCTGAATATGTTTTAACCAGTTTTAATGGTTTTAACTATTTAAAAACTAAACATGGTTTTTATTTTTTAATACAATTAATATTTAATACTACTTTAATGTTTGCTTTTCAGGTTTTAAATTGTATTGTATCAGTTTTACTATAAGCTACTTTGAGTCTCTTTTCTGGAGATAAAAAGTGAAGTAACAACAACAACAACAACAACAACAACAACAACAACATTCTATCACTGTCTCCATATGCTGTATCTGAGGTGGTAAAATCACATGGGAGAACTGATAAAGATCAAACCACTTTAGTCACTCAATTTTAAATCTATTATAAGTATCCTGCTATTTTAGATATTTCTCTAACCTTAACATGAAGTGTTTTTTTTAATGCGCATAGTTCTAATTTCAAATGAGATTCAAACACAACAACTGATCTTATACAACTCCATCAGAAGATGGCAGGCTGGCTTCTACATGTACATTCGTAATTCGTTGAAGTGATGGGGCAGTTTGCTACAGTTTAGACTCTATTGTCAGCTATTATCAGTTATTTATCAAAAGTCATGAAATCAAGCACTGTTAGTCCATGTTTGAACTAGCCTAAAAGTCCTTCCAGACAGAGCCCATATCCCGGATCCTGTCGGATTTTTATCTGAGATGTCCAAACGATGCTTCAAATAACAGCAAAATAATTCGAGACAGAGCAGATAAATCCTGCTTTGCCCCAAATTATTTAGATGCCCTATCCTGAATGGCCCAATTTTAATGGGGTATGTCTCCATAGCCGATTCACTTCTTCGGGCACTATGAGCCCGAAGAAGTGAAGAGGGCAGCTACTCCCTCCTTAAATCTCCCCCAAAAGCCCTGAAAACAACTAGAAACTCACCAGGCCACCATGATGCCTCTCTGCAGGCCTCCTAAAACATAACAATGACATGCCAGGAGCCTGGGGGGTGGGTCATTCCTGCCCCCCTGTCTCCTGGTGCATCACTGGTATGTTTCCAGTAAGTTTTTCTTTTCCTTTAAGGCTTTTTTGGGGGAGGTTGCCCCATTCCAGCATGGTAACTATAGCCTTTTGGGGAAGCCTGGGTCTTTCAGAAGGGTGTGGGGACTTAAACCTACTTCGGAGTGGGTTTCTTTAACCCACTCCAAAGCGGGTTTAAGCCCTGTCTGGAATCATCCTAAACCACCTTCAAAAAGAAAGACTCAAAAGGAAGACTCAAAGTAAGAAACACTAGAAGATTGTGAGTGTTTTCTGTGTACCTATTGTCTTTACAGTCAAATGAGAATTACAACTTGGTACACTCATGACTAAACATGAAAAGGCCATTAAAAAACAAGGATCTTAATTTGAAATGGACAGATACTAAAAAGCATGTATGTTATGCAGAAGTATAACCAAAGCAAGCATCATTTACCTCATAGGTACTCATAAGTTCTCAAAATCAGCTTTATATAGGTTTTCCAAAATCAAATCATCATCTATCCATACAAATGTGTTTAGATCAGGTGTGGGCAGTGTGTGCCATCTGGGATTGTTTTTGTTCCTCAAAGGACCAAACGTTTTGCTCCAAAATGCCACCAAATGTTCAGCTGGGGTTTGTGGAGGACATAGCCATCACTTTGGAGCCCCTTGATCCATTTTTAAAAAGATTGTTTTGCCTCAGAATGATTCAAAATGTATTCTAAGGGTCCAGGAAAGCTCCAATACATGTTAATGATGCCTCCATGTCCTTTAGAGGGTGTTTGCAGGCAACAATTGCAGGAGAGAGTATGATGGGAATATGGCCTTTCAAGGTCTCTTGGGTAGGAGGCTAATGCAACCCTTTAGCCATCCTCAGGTGCCATTTACTAGTTTAAATCACCTTCATGTTTACTTGTCTCTTATGCTCAATTCTAAAAAGGCAAAATAAAACCCATTTACTTTGTCCAAGCAATCTGAACTTTTTGATGGGCGGGACCTCTGCCATCTCTTTCTCTCTCTCTCTCGCTCTGGGATAATATCTTGAAATTCACATTTTGGAATGTTGGGCATTAGAGACTATACTGTACTTCCGAAAGAATATCACCAATCATTAGGAAGGTTAAAAAAAAAAACATGCAATCTGCATTTATTCATTCCTTACCAGTTTCAGGATTAATGGCAAAAAAATCTTGATGATTTCCATTGATGATGTGAAAAGTCAGCTTTCCTTGGGAGTCAGAATCTGGATCAGTGGCTTCAACTTGAAGAACTGAAGTATTGACCTGTGAATTCTCCATGACAGAGGAATGAAAGACAGGTCTGGATAACTGGGGTGGATTGTCATTAACGTCGGTGACTTCAATGTAAATTTCAACCACAGAAGAGAGAGTGACCGATCCTAAATCAACAGCTAGCACTGTCAGCCAATAATGAGAGTTGGATTCTCTGTCTAGTGGTCCTATTGTAAAGATTGTACCTAAGAGAAATAAAATAAAATATTTTTTATAAAGTCATTGACATGATGTGGCACTCTGGGTACAAATTGGACCAGCATTTATAGAAAGCAATGCTTGTTCTCATGGGCAGTTCCCTTTGACTGATCATTAAGAAATGTTTGTTTTGGGATCCCCAGCATTGTGCAATTGGGTATCAGTATGCCCCTGAAATCTGCCTTGATGCTCATCAGATTGCCCACCTGCCCTTCCTAATTTTTAGATGAGGAAGATGAGAATGAAAACTAGGTAAGAGACATGCTGAAAAACATTATCTTCTCATGAGTGATATCTGGATTTCAAAGAACACTTCTGGACCTTAGAAACATTCTTAGAAGATTAACATTGAAAATGGCAAGTGTTTTGTTTTGAAAAATGACCAAAAGTTTAAAAGGTGGAAAATGGATTAAAATTAAGAATTTGTGAATGGACCATGGCAGTCATTTTCCCCATCATAGAAAAAATAGTAAAAGATGATAATACTGTGGGATGAGGTTGTGGTAGATATTTTTTTGATAAATAAACCCTTCTAACTAAATAATAACGATCACTTGAGCCACTTCTCCCATACCCTCTAGCATTCCATTATTACCTGAATCCTTTTCAATATCAAAGACAGCCAGGCCTGTTCCTTCTCTGATGAAATACTGAATTTCTCCATCTTTTCCTTTATCGCCATCTTGAGCTGTTACAGTCATCACAGACGTCCCCTCTGGACTGTTTTCCTCCACTGACCCTTGATATGCAAAAGTTTCAAAGTAAGGAGGATGCAAATTTTCATTGACATCCATAACCTCAATCTCAACATGGCAGAGGGAAAAGTGAGATTGGAGCTTTCCACCATCGCTGACCTTCACAGTTAGGTTGTAAAAGTCCCTCTTTTCATAATCTAACTCTTTCTCCAAGATCAGAGCTCCGGTCAGCTCATTCAGATGGAATGTATTATCACTCTCATCAAACAGTTCATATTTTAATTCTGCCCCAGAGATGCTGTCTGGATCAAAAGCTTCCAGAAACAACAAAATTGTCCCCACAGGCAGGTCCTCAGGGACCTTCACTTTATTCAAGACTGGGTTGCAGTGTGGAGAATTGTCATTCACATCTTCTAATGAAATAATCAGATCAGCAATGGTAAAGAGCTGGTGGCCCAAGTGGGGTTGGTCTCTAGCCTCAACCTTTAATACATACTGAGGCCATAATTCCCTGTCAAGAGGAGTAGTGACAACTACTTCGCCAGTGACACTATTAATGGCAAATTTATCGGTGGGTGCCAGGAATGAATATTTCACTCTTCCATTGTCATTTGTATCAGCATCTTCAGCTTTCACCACTATGATTGTTGCTCCTATTTTTATGTCCTCTGGTATAGTAACCAAATATGTACTTTGTAAAAAAATTGGAGCATTATCATTTGCATCCAGAATATTTACTGCTAGTAACTTCCATGATGACTTCTGAGGAGTGCCGAGGTCATACACAGTGATGTTGAGCACATAGAAACTTGTTCTTTCATGGTCAAATGGAGAGGACACCAGAAGAAGACCTGTTTCTGTGTCAATATAAAAGCAACTATCCTCATTTCCAGAAGATATCACATAAACTATCTTCCCATTAAAGCCAGTATCATTGTCTCTGGCTGTCAACCGAGTTATAGATGAATTCAATGGAACTGATTCCATTACATCAATAGACCTTGGAAAGGTGTCATCAAATTGAGGGGCATGATTATTCATAAGATGTGCATTCAAGGTGGAATCTTCATCCAAGTTTTGTTCTGGAGACTGGGAGTCAATAGAATGGATTATAGTCCTGGCCACATCCTTTAATACCCCAGTCTCTTCACAATGAAAATAGACTGGATTGTTCTGGTTAACCACAGTGATATTTATCCAGGTTGGGAAAGCATAATTATTGCTATCTGTGGCACTAATTTTGAGAGAATGGAAAGCTGGTAGTTCTTCATAGAAATCTCTGAGAGAAGCTCTAAGGGAAATTACACCAGATACAGAATCCAGTTCAAAAAGCTGTCTTTCATTGCCAGATATGATTTCATACTTTATGCGCTGCAGCTCATCGACATCTATGGCTGACACTGTAATCACAGGATGCCCAACAGGCAAGTCCCATGGAATACTACCATTGCAGTTAATCTTTTCAAATACTGGTGCGTTATCATTCAAGTTATTCAGAATGAGGGAAACATAAACTTCTGTCTGATGACGAAAAGGAGATCCTGAGTCTGATGCCCAGACACGCAGGTGGTACCACCTCTGCATTAATTCATAATCCATTAATTTAGTCGTGGAAATGATGCCTGAAAATGGGTCTATGGCAAATGGAACATTCTTCTGGTTGGCTATGGTATATGTGATGAAGCCATTCTCACCAGAGTCACTATCAGTAGCTTTCACCAAGAGAACACTGGTGCCAGAAGGCAGATTTTCATAAAAGGTGCTGTGGTACGAAGATTGGGTAAAGATTGGAGGATGATTATTGCAGTCAATAACATCAACAATGACAGTAACAGAGGCCTGGCTATAATTAGTTTTAACTTTAAGAACAAAGCGGGACTGTTCTTGAAAATCTATCACTTTATCTGTAGTTATGAGTCCAGTTTGAGGATTGATTTTAAAACTTGCACTGTCAGAACTGGTTTGTAAAATGTATTTAAGGTTTGGGAGTACTGGGGTGATTTGAATCATAACAACATGACTCCCAGGAGGAGCAAACTCACTGAGTTGGACTTGATACACATCTTTTTCAAATTTTGCAAAGGTGTATTTTGAAGGTGGTATTGGAATAACTACAGTCTGAGAAAGAAGAGGTGGCTTGTTCTTGTCCTTAGCCTGTAGGCTGAGATTAAAACCAAGTGAGTTCTCATTCCAGTTGATCTCCTTGGCTGACACTATCATGAACTCATTGCTTCCTACATATGATCTCATGGATTTGAAATAGCCTTTTTCATTTCCCCCTATAATGTCAACTGAGTCTATTCCAGAACCAGAGCCATCTGCTTCTACACTCAAAGTTGCATATAAGAGGTCCTCAACAGAATCAGATGGTCTTATCGTTACTGAAACAATGACTGGGGGCTTCCTGAAGGATGGTTCTATCTGAACTATAATGTTGGCTGAGTTTCCAAAGCCATTTCCTTCAGAGATCTTCCTCATTCGTTCCACAGCAAGAACTTTTAATTGGTGCTTCCCTCTGTGGGTGGCATTCAGTCTCATGGCAGTCATAATAGCTCCAGTGGTGGGGTGAACGGCAAACAGTGCTGACCTTGTATTCAATGCATAATAGAACTCAGCATTCTGGCCAACATCAGCATCGGTGGCACTGACCACCCCAATTGTGGCTTTCAAGGGTGTGTCATCTTTGATGGTCACTTTATAAGAAGGGGGTGAGAACAGAGGCTTCAAATCATTTCTGTCGAGGATGTGGATCAGCACTTTAACCCAAGCCTCATAGGCAAATGTCTTCTCTATGGCTTGGATTATCAATATGTACTTGTCTTTGAACTCCCTGTTCAGACGGTCAGTATAGCCACTCCTTGTTCTAATCCTTAGAAAGCAGAAATCTCCAATAATAAACTCCTCAGCTTTAAAGAGTCCACTTGTGTCTCCAGAAGCTATTTTGTATTTGATGTCCCATGCTGGGTCAGTGATGTAAATGCCCATTTTGACAAAACTGTCCACATAGGTTTTGGGAGCTGAATTTTCAAAGATGGTGGCGTTATAGAGAGGATGAGTAAAGTGGAGTAGGGAAGCATTGCCTTTTTCTGAATTTCCATCACAAGTCAGAAAGAACATTAGGCAAAGTGCAAAGCTCACAACAAGCCTCCTGGTCTTGGTTTCCATTGCAGGTTCTAAATGGAAGAAAAACGAGAACAATTAGCAGATGGAATGGCTACTGGTAAAACAAAAGACAGAAAAGCAAGACAAAATCTAATTTATGATCCTGGAGTAGAAAACTGAAGTGAAATCTCATTGATTACAGTTGAGTGTCAACTACCCAAACCAAGTCACTTATTACAAGTTGTGTGCCCCTTATCTATAATATTTGGGAGCAGTGAATTTTGAAATATCTGTATTAACATCCATGTAGATAATGAAATATATAGGAGAAAGGACCAAAGTCTAAATACAAAACTCATTGATGTTTCCTATGCACCTTATACAAATAGCCTGAAGGCACAGCACATTTTAATAATGTGCAAAAAATGAAGTTTGTGTACACTGAATCATCAGAAAGTAAAGATGTTACTATCTCAGCCACCCATGTGAACAATTTTAGCTTTTGGAATATTTTGGATTTGGGACTTCTACATAAGGGATGTTCAACTTGTATTTCCCCAGTATAAGAGCTCATAAATAGAAAACACAACCACAGAGTCTGCGAGACCACATTCTATGACACTTACTCCACTGGAATTACATGTACAGAGTAACTGGCTTTTCTTTCAGGTGACTCCTGTTTGCCCCTCTGTGTTTGTTCTACCACTTACAGTTTTTATATCTGCCATTTCTGATTGTTTATCTGTCTTCACTACACACTGCTATAGATGTAAGCTCTGCTCATTCATGTCTTTTATTCAGATACTGAATGTGTATTTGTCTTACACTGGACTCTGTGTAGTAAGTTGGCAAAAATGCGTAAGAAGCTTTTGTATGAGTAGAGCTATCTATGTTAAGCTTTTCCATGTATTCAGGAACCACTGTACATATGCAGGGGTGTTATCACACTTCACAGGGAACGTGAAGCATGATCCACAGATGAACGCCCATCCAAAAGGACTGCAATGATTCACAGTTGCCAGTATTAACTACTTGACATCACAAGTGAACTTACTGTTTGAAAATACTTCCCACATAATACATTAAGAATTCGATCATAAAGTAAAAATCATTATATAGCTCACTTAATGTTAATACACAGGATTACACAGGATATACTTTATATACACTGATTTGTAACATTGGCTTTGATGCCTACTCTATGAGTCACCACTACTTATAAACCACTACTTGAAGAACAACGCTTAACAATGCAATCCTACCTCAAATATATGTCAACTGTACATTTATTTATTTATTTACTGCTTTTCTCACCCCTGAGAGGACTCAAAGAGGTTTCCAAAATAATAGTGGCAAAATTCAATGCTACACATACATGTGAAAACCAAAACATAATTTCGAGACAATAACATATACTATAAATTAAGAACCTTAACCATGTTACACATATCAGTATAAAACAACATACATTAAAATCATATAAATTAAAAGAGTTATTTAAAATCACACAATCTGGGAGCATAAGTGACGAGCCATTTCAATTGTCATTTGCAATTGCTCATTATTGCACTGAGATATCAATCATTTCACTATCACTGTGCAAGCACTTGGTCCCACAACCAGGATTTAACTTTCTTCCTGAAGGACAGGAGGGAGGGGGCTGATCTAATTTCCCTGGGGAGGGAGTAAAGGGTTAGGATTAGATACAAGTCTTTTTTGCAGGCAGAAACCTAGCAGCAGAGCTCTGCTAGCTCTATTCTCCTGGTCAAAGGACCAAAGGAATCTAGAGGGGAACAGTGATGGAAGAATCAATATATATTAGATTCAAATCCTCTCCAGCACATGGACACAGCCACAATGGACATCCAAAGTTAAGCCACAGTGACGGGAAGACTAATTATTTTCCAACGCACCTAAGCTGGATGATTTGGGATTCAATACAACTTTAGCTTAATGTCAGGTCAGCTGACCCTCAGCCTAGCTGACCAGTTAGGACTGCATCCACAGCCCTTGCCCAATGGCAGATGGTGATGTCTGTGGCAATGAATCCACCACAGGTCTAAGCTAGAACTACAGTAGAGTCTTGCATATCCAACATAAATATGCTGGCAGAACACTGGATAAACGAAAATGCTGGATAATAAGAAGAGATTAAGCACGAAAGCATCATGTTTTACAGCAAATTGACAGAATAAAGCAGTTCAATACATGGTAACTTTATGTAGTAATTACTGTATTTACAAATTTAGCATCAAAACATCACAATGTATTGAAGCAGCTGTTGATCCGGGCAGGAGGCAGACTGCGTTGGATAATACAGAATGCTGGATGAGCAAAGCTTGGATAAGCAAGACTCTACTATATCTTGGGGAATGATGCTCCTCTAAATTTGGATGTAAACTTGGAGGAGATTCATGGAAACCACCTGCTGCTTGTCTGGGGCAATATGGGATTTCAAGGAAGTTTTGAGCCAAGCTATTTAGGGTATTGAGGTTCATAACTAGCACTTTGAATTTTGCCCAGAAAAAGACCAATGCAGTTTCCAAGCAGTTTCCAAAGACAGCCACACAGAGAGTGTATTACAATAGTACAAATGTTTTGTTAGGGAAGCATCTGAAACAGTCCAAAAAAAAAAAAAGGCGGGAGAAGATGGTCAGAGATCACCTTCTGGACTCAGGAACTGGGATAAAACTGGAGAAAACACCCAGAAATATGTGTTATAGGAGCTGTCAAATTTGCCCGGGGTTGAATCGCTTTAGTGATGTTGAGTAAGGGGAGTTCCTATGGGCAGTCTGCTCCCAAGCATTGGCCTTTTGTTTCCTAAAATCCTGCTTCATTAGCCTAGCATGGTAATTTTTTAAAGTCAGGTTTCCCATCAAGTGGTTTAAACAGCTTAGGTCTACTGTAGAGTTACTGGATGGGAAGGAAAAGTTGGGTTTCCCCTCAATTGGTATCATATTGAAAATCAACTGCTTGGGTCTACTGTAGAAGAGCAGGATCCGAGGTGAAAGCCAAGCCTATGTTTTGTTTTTTCTTTTGGTTCGTGGGATAAATCTGAAAACAGATAAATTAGGTAAAACTGGCAAAAAAAGACAATGTGTGAAGGGGAATGAGAAATGGAAGGATGTTCTTTAGAACACTATGGGGCATAAAGCCATGGTAATATGACACTTCCCCCCACCTCCACCCCCCACCATGGGATAGAGACCATCACAGCAGTCTTGCATAGACATACATTTCTTAATCACAGAAATACTGTTGTGTAAAGTCAGGTAACTACTTTATAATATGTGTTTAGGAAATGGAAAGAGAAATACTAGGGTCAATTATAGAACCTTATATCTTCATATGCAACTGCTGTCCCATGTTTTAACTTCCTCTTAAAATTAAAATCAATGACTGAGTACCCAACAGCTCTTTGGCACCACTCTGTTGTGAATATACATATTTTACAGGTATTTTCAAATTCTAAACACATCTGTTTTTACTATAATAAAGCACAAGGCGCATAACCTTAATTATGATTGCTTTTGATTCCAGGAAAACTTCATCATGATGGACAAAATACAATCTACTAAATAAAGGTTGAGCATCCCTTATTTAGGGTTTCATCTACACTGTGAAGTTAATGCAGTTCAACACAGCTTTAACATATATGCTCAGTGCTATGGTATCATGGGGACTGTAGTTCAGTAAAGCACCAGCACTATTTGGTAGGGAAAGCTAAAGATTACAACTCCTAGGATTCCATAGCATTGAATCACGGTAATTAAAATGGTGTAGAGCTGCATTAACTCTACAGTGTAGATCAGGCATGGACGGACTTTGGCCCTCCAGGTGTTTTGGACTTCAACTCCAACAATTCCTAACAGCGAGTAGGGAGGGCCGAAGTTTGCCCATGCCTGGTATAGATGAACCCTGGAATTCAGAAATCTGAAATTCTCCGAAATCCAAAACTGTCCACAAAGATGTCTGAGATAGTGACACCTTTACTTTCTTATCGTTCAACACACACAAACTATCTTTCACACACAAAATTATTTAAAATATTGGGTACAAAGTTATCTTCAGGCTATGTGCATAGGATTTATATGAAACCTTAAAAAATGTAATGTTCAGAGTTGGATCTCACCTTTAAGACATCTCATTATTTATATGCAAGTTTTCCAAAATACGGAACACTTGTGGTCTGAAGAATTTCAGCTAGAGGATACTTAACCTGTATTGTCACTGGTTGTTGATGTTAAATATAACTCTTACACCCCAGATGAGAAACTGGCTAACATTTCATTTTCTCTTGGAACAAGACATTGAAATCTCTCTTGAGGGCTGATTAGAATCGGCTCCTCCCACTTTCATCCACACATAAGAATTGGCAGTAATTATTCTCATGTTTGGGGATTCCCATCATCACAGCTGCTTCTTAATGAGCCATGGAATATATGTTATCTTGTGGTAGAATCACACCTGTGAGACATTTTTCAGGCTGAAGTTGTTGATGGAGCTCCCTTCCAAGGGAAGTTAGTCTGGTCTCCTCTCCCTTATCTTTTTTGCCAGCAGGGAAAGGCAAACGGATTAATCTGCCACTTTCAGTTTTATGACCACTGCTACTTCAAATGCCCTTGTGTTATATATATAGGAGCTCCCCTTGTTATGGACCATGACCCAGCATAGAAATGGCTGTATGAGTGCTCCATTACAATTTGGACATGTTGTGGGAAGGGGCTGTCATAATGCTAAAAACAGATTTGCTGCTCCTGCATTAGTTACCCCTGATTGGAAACTACCTACTTGCTGAGGAAGGGGCACATAATGACAGGAGGGAACAGTACTCCCAACTCTCACCATGAGCTTTTAAATGAGTATTGTTTTAATGACAATCCATGTTTTAAGATATTTTAAGGGGCAGGAAATAAATGATGATGATGATGATGATTATGAGCTGTCTTGAGTCCTATTATTGGAGAAAAGCAGTATATTTTTAAATGAATGAATTACACTGTAATAACTGAAATGACCACGATAATATGTCATACATGCTCCCGCCACCGAGTCATCATTGTATTTTCAA